AAAACTGTTGCCGAGAAGAGAGAACGCCACTGAAGCACATATATGGTCCTCAGTATACACACATATATATTCTGTTTACAGAACAGTAAACAGATGTGTTGGCACTGACACTGAGAGGAGACCTAGCAGTTTATCCCGACTCCTAGAAAAAAACTTGCTCCTTAAAAATCCTAAATTAATTTGAAAATGAAAATGAAGGCAGTGCAGAGCAGTGGAAAGAAACAGACTGTGAACTCCAACTGACATGGATGTGAATTCTAGCTGTGGTGTTCTAGTCGTGTGACTGTGAGGTTTTAACATCTCTTTCTCCTCTTCAAAACAGAAATTACAATGCCTTTAAGGCATTTGACTGCTAACCAGAAGGTTGGTGGTTCAAACCCACCAGCCACTCTGCGGAAAGAAGACTGGGCAATCTACTTCTGTAAAGATATACTGCCTCAGAAACCCAAAGGGGGTCGCTATATGTTGGAATTGACTCAATGGCAATGAGTCTGGTTTTTTGGTTTTCTCCCTTAGAGGGCTGTCGTGATGATTAAATGAGATAATGTCTGTAACTTGCCTGGCACAGAAGGCAAGGTGACTGACTATATAAAAGGTACAAGCATATATCTGTGCTCAACACGTTTGAAGCCACAGTTAAAAGTTTCTTATATTTTTGCAACCTGAAAAGAGCAGCTGAATAATCTCACCACTCTGCAAGAAATAACCATTTATTTTAACTCTAGTCCTGATTACTTCTTTTGTGTTTCAATATTTTTAAAAATTATTTCTTACATAAAGAAAATTTGAACTTTATCCTAATACTGTACATTTGCTCATATTAATCTTTGACATATTTACATTCTTAAGTAGTTTTAACTTTTGGATATAAAAAGAGGGTAGGACTGAGGGACATAACCAAATCTAAGGAATATATGCTTGATATATTTTGATATCAACAAAGCATTTTAAGGCTGTTGTTGTTATGTGCCGTCGAGTCAAACCCGACTCATAGCGACCCCTCCTTGGGCTTCCGAGGCAGTATCACTACGGAAGTAGGATTGCCCAACCTTCCTTCCGAGGAGTGGCTGGTGGGTTTGAACCGCCAGCCGTCTGGTTAGCAGGCAAATGTCTTAGCCACTATGCTACCAGAGCTCCCATTTTAAGGCTAGAGGCCCAATATACTGCAGACATTCATCAGCCTCTGGGGATTACTCCATTCCAAGGCACGTTTTTCTATTTCGCTTCACCGTAAGATCCCTCCAACTCAAGAAACTGATTAGTTTCCAATGAGTTGATCCTGGCTCACAGGGACGCTACAGGATAGAGCAGAACTGCCCCATAGGGTTTCCAAGGCTGTAAATCTTTCCGGAAGCAGACTGCTTCATCTTTTTCCCATGGAGCAGCTGGAGGGTTCCAACCACTAGTCTTCTGGTTTGTAGCCGAGCACTTAACCACCAACTGGAGCACAAAATTCAGAAGTTGTGCTTTCAGATTGAGAGCACTTCTGAATGTCCCCTACTTTTCCTGGGGGTAATCTATTCCCCATAAACTGCCTGCCATGCCAACTTTTCTTCCTTTGGAATGTACATAGGCAGTTTAAGGACTGATCAGCAGACTCAGTCTAGGCAAGCTGTAGCTGGTTCTTTTGCTCTTGTTGAAAGCAAAAGAACACTCCCTTCTTTCTATATTTTGAAATCTTCCTGTCTACATGTCAGTGAACATTTCTAAAAAGTGCAACGTATTTAACTTAGTATAGAAGACATGAAAGAATATCAATGAACAGGGCTACTTCCTGTTTTTTGTATTTAACAAAATGGAGTTATTATAGTGTATTGGAAATCATATATCAAGGAATGTTGGTTAACCAGTCATCCCTGCCAGAATCAGATATGAAAAGAAAACAAAAGTTGGCAACAATTCCAACTCTGACATTTCTCTTCCAGAATTATGTTTAGTATGGTTAATTATCAAAGCTCCCTTGGTTTTCTGTGACTAAAAATGAATCCTGGAGAAAATTCATAACTATAAAAACTTATGAATTCATGTGAGACCAACCTGTGTAACTACTTCTATTATTTTATAGTATCGCCAACTTAATGTTAGAAACCTATTTTTAGGTGATATCACTCCAGTAAAAGGTCACTAAGAATTGTATTTGTAGCCTAACAGCTTCTGAAAGGAAGTGAAAGTTGATGGGCTATATGAGGATATAAAAGCACCCTATGAAATAACTTCAGTTTTAAACAAAACTAACATTAACAAGTACAGCATATCTTGTTCTTTCATGGGGCCAGCAAATTGATAGCTTGGCCTTTTTAAGTTACCAAAATAGGATGGAGTAATTACATCTACTAAACTCACAATAGCCTGTTCAATGGAGAGTAACACTGTAATTTTTCTTCAAAGACAGTAAATAGGAAGAAAAAGCCCTTAGTTCAATAATACAAGGAAAAATTCAGAACCCTTGGGCGCCACTTACAGGCACAAAACTTTCACTGATTTCGGTTATTACTTTGAAGAAGAGGGCTAGGTTTTAAATCTTCAATTTTTAAAATTAGCATTTTTTTATATAATGTAAATGTCACAAGTATATTTTCTACACTTTCAATTTCTCCATTTAGCATCAGACACTAAAGGAAATTCTCAAATCAGAAACACAGAATTCTTTTTTTTTTTTAAAAAAATACAATAGCTCTTTGGATAGAAGGGATCTTTAGACCCCTAATCTTACTTCAACATAAAGATATTTCAAAATCTCAACGTTAGATTTTCCTCCTGAAAGTATGAAATTATTGCCAAAAAATATAATGCAAAGTTCAATTGAGATTTTACTGAACTGCTTATAATCAGTGTTTATATCAAGAGACTGAAATGAATTTCAAACCCCAACTGCCAAGGAAATTAGAAAAATCACCGTATTTTAAAAGGATAGAAATTCAACATTTTACTAGAAATATTTTTGTATTTGGGATGAACCAAAAGGACTTTAATTAAATTCATTAAAAAATAAAATTATTATGTTGACTAGCTCATTATATCACATATTGTGCAATTTATAATCCATCCTTTAAACAAAGAAAAAAAATTTAGATTATAAACCACAAAAACTCAGCATGGATTACTCAGTCTTGAATTCTGTCTGCTTCCACCTGAGCTCTCTTACTTTCTGTCAGGAGACAGCAAACTTTTACGATGGTTGTTCTTACATTATATTCATAGCTCAATGAGATGCCCAGAATGCTGACATTTACTAAATTATTTATTGTATCCAAAAAGTTATGTTGCGTGAGTATAAATAAAATTCATTTCCCACGTTTGGCGTTTAAATTTTTTATCTGGAGTTCATTAGTAGTAATAATTTGCCTTCAAAGAATTTTTCCAGTTAAGTTTTAGTCAAACCAGCATAGGGACAGGAAACTATAGTAAGACTAAGTTACATGTCCAAGTGCACACCAACAGCTATCACAGTCCTTCTGTCTCAGCACTGCCTTGGTAGAGTCTACGTTTTTTCTTTTGGTGGAGAGACTTCAAGTAATAAATGAACTGTAGCTTTAAACAAATAATCCCACAAAAAAGTACCAAATCACTTCAGATAATTGATGAAAACGAAGATTTCCACTGCCAAATTCGTCCCACAAGGAATATAAACTTAAGACACATACTCTTTAAAATACTCAGAATAAGGATCAGGGAACCCAACAGGGCAAAGGGTGACTGTCACAAAACATTTCCAGCAACTCAAAATACCCGATCAAGACTTTGTGCTTTGCTATACCAGTGAGATTTTTAAAAAACAAAGATTATAGTTGTCCCCACTTAAATGAATTTCCTTCAACATAGTAAGTCCCAGTTGCCAACAAGGCGTCGGGCCATGAATCGCTCGTCCGCGTTACGTTAAACATACCGTACTTCATTAGCACCACAGGTCTTATGAGCCGGAGCCCACAGTTCTGTGACCCCTGGAATCCGGCAGTCTGCGGCCCGCCCGCGCAGCTGCATCCAGCAGGAAGCACCGCACCCGTGCGGCGCTCCCCGAACCACGCCGGAGGGACTGGGGGAGCAGTCACCAACATTTTGAAACTGAATGGCTGACACATCCGGTCCTGGCTCTTACACAAAATTCAAACTTCAAAGACCAAATTCAAACTCCAAACCGAAGTCACTCTAGTCTAAGTCATGCAGTTCGCATTCCCAAGTACGCTCGGAGCCCCTTGGGGCAACGCAGTTAGAAAACCCTAAATCCTAAAAGATTGCAAATCCCACGAGTTTGCAGCCAGTCTGCCCGCACCGCTTTGACAGGCGTTACCAAGCTGTCCTGTGGACCCCGCTGCGGCCGGCGATTGGGGCGCGCTCCCTGCGTCCCAGCTCAGTCCCCAGTACCTGCCTCGGAACTCGAGCTCCAGGCAGGCCGGGGGCTCGGCCTGTCACGGCCGCGGGGACCTCGTCGCTTTCCCTTCTGTCCTCTCGCCCCCGCCCCGGCCGCTGGCTAGGGCTCTCCACCCACCCCGCCCCTTTCCCGACCACCGCCCGCTGGCCAGCTCCGGGCCCTCCGGTCCGTCCCCAGACTCGCGTCCTGGGGCGCCGCCGCCCGGTTGCTCCCCGCCCCCTCGGTCCCGCCCGGAGTTGCCCTGAGGGCAGCGCCAGGGTCTCGCGGCCAGGCTCTTCGGAGGTCCCCGGTTCCCAGAGCCCCACAGAGCCAGCCGGGACCCCCCACACCTTTTAGCAACCGGTCCCCGCAGCGCGGCTGGCACGCCTGTCACATGTCTACAAACAATAACAAACTCTCCAGCACGTCCTCGCCTCGGTACCCTGTCTAGCCCCCCAGGCCGGGTCCGGAGTGCAGCCCAACGCTGGGTGGAGGTTTGAAAGGGTACCCAGGGGTGCGGGGTCTCAGACTCGGGCAAGCGTCGCGCAGTCTCTCTGCTCGCAGCCCCAGGACACCGTGCGCGGTGCCCAGGGTTCATTCATTGCCCTCCCGCTACCCCCAAAGTCCCGCCGCGCCCCCAGGCGTTACTCACCCAGTGGGGGCCGCTGCAAGAGGTGGCTCGGCGGCGGGAGCCCGCTTCTCTCCGGGCTCGGCTCCCGCGGGGCTCGGGGCGCCGCTGTCCGAAGCAGCCACCGGCTCTGCAGGGTGTGCGCCGCCGCGGCTCGAGGTTCCGTGGGGCTGCGGGACCGCTAAAGGCTGGATACCGCTCCCGCCTGCCGCCGAGTCTGGAGGCTCCGGAGACGGGGAAGTGGAGGAGGACGACAGAGACGCGGCGAGGAAAAGCGGCGGCTCCGGCAGCTGGTCCAGCTCCACACTCCGCACTTTGCGCAGCTGCCGCCGCCGCCAGTCCGCCCGCTCGCGGCCCCCGGTGCCCGCCTCCCGCAGGAGCCCCGCGGCCGCCGCGGACGCGCTGCTTGCTTTCTGGGCCCCTCCGCCGCCCCCAGCCTCGGGGCTCGCCGCCCCGGCGCCTGGGAATCCCGACGACGAGGCGCGATTCCCCGCCGCCGCCGCCATTTTCTCTCGCGGGCTACATTCGCTCGGCCCCTGCGAGGGAGGGAGGAGGCGGGGAGAGCGCAGGGGGCGGGCGGACTGGCTGGCGCTACGCCCTTGGCGTAGGTTCGCCTGCGCCAACTGCGTGAGCGTGGCCCGCCGGGCTGGCCCTGGACAGACAGGCGGGTGGGGGCGTGGGGTTCTGCCGGAGGCGGAGGGCGGGTTGGCGGCGGCGCTGCAGGTTGGAAAGATTGGGCTGTGCGTTCGGCAGGGCGGGCAGGCCCAACCTGTGGACTCAGACGTGGCAGCCGCGGAGCTCCCTGCCTCGGCGCGCTGCGCCCGTTGCGCGGCCAGGTAGTCCCGGGCCGTACCGGCCGGAGGAGGAGCTTGGGCGGCGGCATCGCGCAGCTTCCTCTCCGCCGCAATCTCGGCCCGGCCCGCCAGGAGCTCGCCCTACTGGAGTTGCAGCTTCGGAAATAAGTAATTAGTTGGAATGTGTGTGTGTATGTGTGTGTGTGTGGTTCGTGAAAGGGGACACAGGGCAGAAGGTTTGCAGTCTGTCATTCTGACTGCCCTTTGCAGTGGCGTTAAGAGATCCGGCGCCGGCCAGCCCCCCTCCCGCCCGCTCCGCGCGGGACGCGCAGGTGGTGCTCGGGGGTGCGGCTTGCTGCAAAGCGAAAGAAACCTAACGTTCGGCATACGTGCTGCTACGGACCAAAAAAATAAAAGTTTTTGAAAAAAGCTTTCCTCCTCTTTTGTCTCCACCCCTCGTGCTACAAATAACAGAACTTCAAAGTCTCCTGGAATACCTTGTACACATCCTGAAGTAGCCGATTTCGGATACCCCCTCTTCCCACCCCTGCCACTTGGCTACAGAGAGATAGGGACGTCCTCAGGATATTTTTTCCCCCGCTCTGTCTTTGGAAAAGGCAAAGGACCAGACAGAGTACGTTTGGGGAAAGAACCAACGCTGTGCAGGAAGTGCTCGATAATGTCACCTTCAGACTGGCTCCCCGAATCGACGCCTCTCACGGCGAGTCCCTCTTCCCCGAGGGGTCGAGCGACAGTCTCGGGTCTCTCCACCCCCATTCCCAGTAGTGCCTGGTTGCTAAAAGCAGCGTTTTGAACCACTTGATCCCTGGGGAGTCGCTGGCTGGGTCTAGCAACAATAACATCCCGGGGGAAACTGCGGTAAGGTGCTTTGGGATGGAAAAAGCACCATTTACATATTAATGATTTTCGACCTTTCTTCAGCTGGGTAGAGTCGTGTCGCGTTTCTCTTCTTTTCCTTAAACTAGTTTGTCTGATGGGAAATGTCCCAGAAGGCAGGAGCAGCGTCTTCAGATTATTTTGAGAAATGTTAAAAAATGTTTGTTTATTTAATGCAGGGCGGTGGGGGGGGAGAGGCATCTCACGCAGCAGGAGGAGAAAGCTTAGCTTGTCTTCATAATATTTAAACAAAAGTTTGAACTGAACTATCGATGTAATGATTCCTTTGACTTCTTGAGAATGGATACAATTGAAGTCTCCTTTTCTAGTATAAAGGAGCTCTGGTGGCTTAGTGCCTAAGGCACTTGACTGCTAACCAGAAGGCTGGAGGTTCAAACCCACCAGCCACTCCTGGGAAAGATGGTTGGGCAATCTACTTCCGCAGTGATACTGGCTCGGGAAACCCAAGGAGCGGTCTCTACCAGTCGGATCCGACTGGATGGCAGTGAGTGTGTATAACTGTTACCTGAGGAGCAAGGTGATATTGGAGGGAGTTTTTAACGGTCTTGATTTCATGTTAGTTCATTGTTTTGAATACTGATACAACATCTGCCATCAGATAGTTTTAGATAACTACGTCCAATGGTGCAAATTTCGAAGGTTTGGATAAATCTATTAAAATGTTAAGTCTACATTTAGTCTGTAATTACATGCTCTTTTAATGATAACTAAGTGTATCATCCAAATCAAACAGTAGTTGCTTCTCTGGTCTTCCCGATTGCCACACCCACCAAATCCTACATTGAAAAAAGATAAGCTTTCCATCTTCCTATTTAGATCTGTTGTTGTTGTTGTTACGTGCCATCGAGTGGGCCCCGACTCATAGCGACCCCTCCTTGGGTTTCCGAGGCACTATCACTACGAAAGTAGATTGCCCAACCTTATTTATACACATGGTCAGTTACCTGTAAGTGATAAAAGTCAGCTAGGTGCCTTTCAAAATTGGAACAATTTTGAAGTTTGGTTACAGTAGCTAAAGTAAAATAGGATTCTAGGAAAGTCTTTACCTTTGTCTATTTATTTGTACAAAGGAATTGAAACTCATGACCAAAGAGAGATAGCAACACTGTTAGCCAGCTACATTTTCTGACCTCCTCTACACACCATACACTGCCGCTAGAAACCTGAGTGCTGGATAATTTTTGGCATTTTGAGTCATTTCCCTCTCAATCTTTTATGTAAATATTTGGATTGCTATTATGCATCTACACACCAGTCAACTGATTTTAATTTTTTATATTGTTTGTTGTTGTTGTTAGGTGCTGTCGAGTCGTTTCCAACTCATAGCGACCCCATGCACAGCAGAACAAAACACTGCTCAATCCCGCGCCAGCTCCATGATCCCTGCTATTACTGAGCCCATTTTTTATATAGAGAAGAATAATCAAAGGGCATGCGTGACAGAAAAGGGTGTTCTCTCTCTGCCATATGTTAATATAAAGTCTTCTTTGAGGAGAATCCAAATAAGGAATTGTTACCATAGTTCTGGGTGTTACCTGTAGATAAGACTACAGTTAGCTCCTGGTTTTGGTGCTATTGTGTCCTGTTTTTTTCATTACCACAGAGAGGCATGTCAAATGTCAAGCTAAAATATACTCTGAATTTCTTCAATTTGATGTTTTCAGTGACCTAAAGGAGACTTAAGTCTCTTCAAGGGTTGCTTTTAGAACCAAAAGCTTCAGTTACTAATTTCAAAGCTCTTTATTCCCATCTTCACTGGAGGGTAGAAACCTTGCAGTGATTTCCATTTTTGCAGTGACAATTTCTGTAACCTTTACTAGAGTGCTTTACAGATCACTGCTTTTCACATGGTACTTCTCTGGGAATCACCTGAGTCACGTGGCAGTTCCTTCATCACATTCATTTGGAGAACCCAGTTGAACATTGATGCATTTCCTCATTGTGCACAAATAACATTAACATTAGAATGAAGAGACTTAATATACATTGGCAGAACATTTCAGCCTGGATCTCATTCATCATATATTTATTAAGCACCTGCTCTTCACATCAGAGAGTTTTTTCCTTCTCTAGGGATAGTTTGTTGTTTTTCATATTTACATAAAACAAATATTCCCATGGACAAATATTATTATTGTTGTTGTTGATGTTGTTAGGTGCTGTCAAGTTGTTTCTGACTCATAGTGACCCTATTACAACAGAATGAAACATGGCCCGGTCCTGCGCCATCCTCACAATTGTTGCTATGTTTGAGCCCATCATTGCAGTCACTGTGTCAGTCCATCTCATTAAGGGTCTTCCTTTCTTCTCTTACCCTCCATTTTACCAAGCATGACATCCCTCACCAGGGTCTGGTCCCTTCTGACAACATGACCAAAGTAGGTGAGATGAAGTCTGGCCATTTTCTCTTCCAAGGAGCATTCTGGCTACACTTGTTCCAGGACAGATTTGTTTGTTCTCCTGGCAGTCCATGGTATTTTCAGCATTCTTCGCCAACACCACAATTCAAAGGCATCAATTCTTCTTCAGTCTTCCTTATTCATTGTCCAGTTTTCACCTGCATAGGAGGCGGTTGAAAATACCATGGCTTGGGTTAGGCACACCTTAATCTTCAGAGTGACATCTTTGCTCTTTAACTTCAAGTGTGCAAAAACCCCATGTACTGTGTTGGATAGCACAGTACTAGAGCTGCAGTACCTAAGATCTGTAAGTTTTGTAGACTGTGAAATGCCTGATTAGGCCAGATGATTGTATAATAAAAAATATTCACATGTACATGTTCAGGAAATAGAGAAGAAAAAAAAAAGATATACATTAGTAACATAAATCCTACAGCCATTGAGTTGATTGTGACTCATAGCAACACCATAGGGTTTCCAAGGTTGTAAATCTTTAGAGAAGCAGACTGCCTCATCCTTCTCCCACAGAGCAGCTGGTGGGTTCAAACCACTGACCTTTTGGTTAACAGCCTAATGCCTTAACAATAATGCCATCAAAGGTCCTTACATCAGTAATATGTAAATGAGTAGATTATTCCCTCTACTTCCCAAAGTAGCTAATCTTTGAAATGAATTTTAGCCACCATTGCCAGTTATCTTTTTAAACCATAGTTTTGATCCTGTCTTCTCGCCTCAAACTAATAGTTCCACGTTACATAGCATATAAAATCCAAATTCTTTTATTCATTCAACAACATTATTTTGCTCCTCAGGAACTGAGGAATAAAATAAAATTCACTGCCGTCAGTTGGTTCCAGCTTATAGCAACCCTATAGGACAGACTAGAACTGCCACATTGGGTTTCCAAGGCTGTACATTTTTACAGAAGATAAAATAAAGACGTATAATTAATAAATATCTTTCAAAAAATAATTTTCTAGCTTTTATTCCAACAAATTAATTGTTATAATTAAGATTTTCACATAATTTGTATTCTGACAATAGAAATGACATAGTTGCTGTGTTAGACTGGGTTCTCTAGAGAAACAAAACCAGTAAAGCTTATATATAGAGAGAAAGATAAATTTATCTTAGGAAAATGGCTCGTACACTTATAGGAGCTGGCAAGTCCCAAGTTCTTGGATCAAACATCAAGCCGGAGGCTTTTCCTGACTCACGCAGCTGCAGGGGCTGAGGAGCTCAGGGTTGGTAGGCAGTATACCAGCTGTTGACTCAAACAAATGATGAATCCAAGATCTCCAGGCCGAAGGTGGATTGTTCACTCACAGACAGCTGTAGGCAGCACAACAGTATCTCGATCCATAGAAGAGTGTCTCTTTTCCCAGGATGCCCATAAACATACTGGAAGCAGGCCACAACCCTAGGAAAACTCTCTTTCAACGGATTGGCTGTGCAAAACATATACATCTGATCCCATCATTGGAATAACCCACATCACAATTGTTTAAACCACACAGAACTGTGGTCTAGCCAAGTTGACACACAGCTCCAACTATCACAGTTGCCTATTGTAATTAAATGGGAAAACTATTTAAAATACAAATTTGTTGAATACAAAATTTTAAGTTAAAATTATTTAAATAAAGGCCAAATTTTTCACTTTTAAAAAATATAATTAAATATCATTAGATATTTTATTAAAATAAAACTACTTGCAATTCTGGAGCTCTGGTAGCATAGTGCCTAATGCACTTGACTGCTAGCCAGAAGGCTGGCGGTTCAAACCCACCAGCCACTCCTCGGAAGGAAGGATGGGCAATCTATTTCCATAGTGATACCGCCTCAGAAACCCAAGGTGGGGTTGC